GGGGGCTCGGGAAAGCCCCGGAGCGAGGGGCCCGCGGCACCTGGAGCCGGGAATTGGGAGCGCTCGGGGCGCGGGGGCGGGAGGGGACAGGACAGGTGGCCCGGGAGCGGAGCCGGTGGCCCGGCCAGGCCCGGCCCACGCGGGACCGCCCGCAGCTGCCTGCGGCGTGGGGGAGCTGGAATGGGAGACTGGGGAAGGGCTGGGATCGGGGAAGGGCTGGCATCGGGGAAGGGCTGGGATCGGGGAAGGGCTGGGATCGGGGGAAGGGCTGGGATTGGGGAAGGGCTGGGATTGGGGGAAGGTCTGGGATCGGGGAAGGGCTGGGATCGGGGAAGGGCTGGGATCGGGGAAGATCGCGGATCAGGGGAAGGTCTGGGATCGGGGAAGGGCCGGGATTGGGGAAGGGCTGGGATCGGGGAAGGGCTGGGATCGGGGAAGATCTGGGATCGGGGAAGGGCTGGGATCGGGGAAAGATCCGGGATCGGGTAGGGGCTGGGATCGGGGAAGATCTGGGACTGGGGAAGGGCTGGGATCGAGGAAAGATCTGGGATCGGCGAAGGTCTGGGACTGGGGGAAGGTCTGGGATCGGGGAAGGGCTGGGATCGGGGAAGGGCTGGGATCGGGGGAAGATCTGGGATCAGGGGAAGGTCTGGGATTGGGGAAGGTCTGGGACTGGGGGAAGGTCTGGGATTGGGAGAAGGTCTGGGATCGGGGAAGGGCTGGGATCGGGGAAGGTCTGGGATCAGGGAAAGATCTGGGATCAGGGAAAGATCTGGGATCTCTGGATGCTCTGGGATCTTTAGAAGCTTTGAGACTGGAGGAAGATCTGGGATCCCTGGAAGCTCTGGGATCCCTGGAAGCTCTGGGATCCCTGGGATCTCTGGATGCTCTGGGATCTTTGGAAGCTCTGGAATTGTGGGGTGCTCTGCGATCAGGGGATGCTCTGGGATCCCTGGAAGCTCGGGGATCCCTGGAAGCTCAGGGATCACAGGATGCTCTGGGATCTCTGGGATCCTTGGATGCTCTGGGATCCCTGGAAGCTCTGGAAGCTCTGGGATCCCTGGAAGCTCTGGGATCCCTGGAAGCTCTGGAAGCTCTGGGATCCCTGGAAGCTCTGGATGCCCCCGTGTCCATCCCGGTCACTAGTCACAGCCAGGCACGCCCGGCTGCCCCAGCCCCATTCCCAGCCTCTGGAATCACTTCCCAGGGAGCCGTGAGCTCCCCAAACCCTGCCCGAATGGAGCAGCGGGATGAGCTGCGGCCAAAATCCCCAAATGTGCCCCCACGAGCGGCGCATGGCATCACCCCAAACCCTTCCCAGGGGATATTTGGGGGTGCTGGGAGGATTCCCGATATTCCAATCCCTCCTGCCCACCCAGAGAGGGAAAAGGGTCTGGGAAAAGAGTCTGGAAAAGGTTCTGGGAAAACCAGTCTGGAAAAATGTTCTGGGAAAATGATCTGGAAAAGGTTCTGGGGAAATGTTCTGGGAAAAGGGTCTGGGAAAGGTTCTGGGGAAATGTTCTGGGAAAAGGGTCTGGGAAAATGGTCTGGAAAAGGTTCTGGAAAAAAGGCTTGGAAAAAGGATCTGGAAAAAGGATCTGGAAAAAGAGCCTGGGAAAATGTTCTCGGAAAAGGGTCTGGGAAAAGATTCTGGAAAAAGAGCCTGGGAAAAGGGTCTGGAAAAGGGGTCTGGAGGAAGGGGCTGCCAGCGGGCTGGCGGAGCCGGGCGGGGAGGGGCAGCGGCCGCCTCGCAGCGCAGGGTAATTGGAGCACTTTGTCATTCAGCTGCCTGGAATTGGCGCTCCATTGTCTCGGCCCCGCCGGATGCGGCGCGGGGCTCCGAGCGCCGCACCGAGCGCGGGGACGCGGCCAAGGCGCTGACGAGGCCGCCAGATGCTCCCCCGAGCCTCTCCCCCCTTCCCCAAAATCAGCCGTGGGTGGGTGGCCAAGGGACGGCGCGGCCCCGGGGCTGCGGCCAGCGGGAGCGGGAGGAGCGCTGGGACCTGCGGGACGGGGTTCCTGGGTTTTGGGGGGCAGCTCGGCCCTCCCCGGGCTGCAGAGGGGCCCGTGGGGGTGCCCGTGGGATGTTCGTGGCTCTCGGGGGTGGTGACACGTTGTGCCAGCAGGGACACCCGGTGCCGGCGCACAGCGAGGTCCTGCCGCTCCCTCAGCTCCTCATTGCCGGCGCCCGCGGGTTTTGGGGGGCAGCGGTGCCAGCCAGGCTCTCCAGAGCCTCCGCCGAGGCAGGAATTTCTGCTCTCCTCTCCCGTTCCCCAGGCTGGGAAGGGCCGAGCCCCCCGGGATGGCGCAGAGCCCTCGGGGGAGGCGGCTGAGGAGCGACAAGGACAAACCGAGGCCACAGCACCCCAAAACACCCCTGGGCGCCCCGCCGGCTCCCTCCAGCCGCACAACTCGGCAGGGCTTTCCCCGAGGAGTGAATTTTGCCCGGAAAAGCGCTTTTCCCTCCCAGATCTGCACGTAGCACGAGCGGGGTGTCCCCGGAGCGGGCCCGGCCCCGGCTGTCCCATCCCCCGGGCGGCAGGAGTGACCTCCCGGCTCTGCTCTCCCCAGGGCCCCGCCGGCGCCTCCAAGGACGATTGTTTCTCCAAGCTGTTCACGGCCAGCGGGGAGTGCTGCCGGGTCTGCAACGTGGGCGAGGGCGTGGTGCAGCCCTGCGGGCTCAACCAGACGGTCTGCGAGCCCTGCCTGGACAGTGAGTGCCCCCAGCCCCGGGCAAGGCCGTGCGCCCTGCCCGAGCATCCCTCCTTCCCTCCGGGCAGCGCCGCAGCGATCCCGGCCCGCCCCTCCGCTGAGCCAGGGCCGGGTTCTGGGGACAGGATTGCTTAAAACGGGAGATTCTTGCCCCAAAATGGGAGTTGGGGCACGGGGAGGGGCACAGCCCCACAGCGGGGTCTGGGCAGCGCTGCCAGGCACCGGGAGGGGGTCGGGATAGTGCCTGCACGGGAGGATCCTCGGGACTGGGATATTCCCGGATTCCCTGAGCCCTGCAAGCAGCCAGGGCTGCTCCGGGAGGAGATGGGAGAGGGGCAGGGC